TCAGAAGTTGTCGCCTTTACAAAACCTTTTCTATCGCTTGGAATCAGTATACTCTATAGGGTAAGTTTTTGAACATTTAAAATCCCCTTAAGTTTTCAATAACAATCTATGGCACAATGTAGGCGTGGCCTTTGCTCACACGCTATTGGCTGGATCATTTCGTTAACTATATTTTAGGTGCCAGATGATCATCAGCCTGATCTCTTCTCCTTTCTCAATCCACTCTCTTGGGAAATTTGGATGGCTATCCTTGCCGCGATATGTAAGCTTATTGATTCTACCTCATTTCCTCCAGACAAAAGTTTTAAATTAGGTCCTACATTTTTTCAGTATGCGTGACCCTCGGCATGTATATTGTGTCAAGAGTGACACCTTATGAATGGAATCTGAACTTTTCTTGCTGCACAGCGCATCAGCCACATCCTGGAGCTGCTTTTGTGGATTCGCCCGTAGAATTATCAAATAATTACAGTTTCTGGAATACTCTTTGGTAAGCGAAAAGTGATTTAAGAGACAGATTCGTAGAGGAAAAAAGGTTTTACTGGTATTGTTTTATGATCTTCAAAGTAGATAGCCGACATCTACAGTAATTGGGAAGAAAGGAGGAAGAAGAGCTGCCCTTTAAATTACATAAGACTGAAGAGAGTTCAAAGGCCAATAACAAGTCCGAAAATGCAATTTTACAGACGATAAGTGGAATAGTCATGTAGAGACATTCTGTAGTAAAAAGCAGTAAATTATATAAACAAAAGACACTACACGCAAATAAATATTATAAATGTAGTTTAATTTGGTTATGTTTTCTTATCCATAACCCTCATGCCCTATCAACTTTATCCTAAATCATTAAAAAAGAATGACTTTCAGGTACGTCACGAGTACTATGCTAAAAGGCGGATGCGATTTTGGTCCTCGCGCTGTTTCTACAAGATTATTGGGAGGTAGATTACATTTCACTTATTTTATATTTTTTTAGATCCCGATATTTTATGCTTACATACCTATCCTTCCCCACCCCTTTTCGGAAATTCTTTCTTCCTATTGGTTGAAGGGTGGTGATGAAGCCCACATGTATCGTGAAGACGTTTATTTGTTGTATGGATAACCAAAATGTGATGACGGGCACGTATTACCTTCTTTTATACAGATACAACAGAAAGGCATATCAAGCGAGCCTGTCGTGCATTTTAATTGTATCAGTTCATCTCTGTGCCCATTAGTGCGCTCAACAATACATTTGCTAATTCTCCATTTGTTTAACGGCAGATAATAGGAGCGTAAGAATGCGTGGCGGCATAGTACTAATTTCCAAAACATCGAGCAA